CGAAACTGGTGAATCTTTTCGCTACCTTGGTCGTTATTTTAATTTCAACATGTCAGATGAAAAACACCAATCGGATATATGTGACTTGTTTAATAATATCATATCTAAAATAGATGAATTACATTTGCACCCCCGAAATTAAATCCTGCTATACAGTCGCTACTTGCTCTCGAAAATCTCATGGGACTTCACAATAACTCATATATCTCAAACATGGGTTTGCGAGACTTTGGACGGTATATATTGCTACTAAATATATACGAAAATGGCTCGAACTGCCAATATCTGCAACTCTAAGCAATGTCTATCTCTCTTACAACAAATTTGGTTTAAATGTCATTCTACCTTCAACGAAGTTTATACAGTGCCAAACTGTCTCACGCTTAGCTTTAAAGTCATTGATAAATGAAAACATAGCTACGTGAATTATGGTCAATAACAAGCACCAATAGGAACATTCAGTACGACATTTACTCAAGCACAAAAGATGTATTGAAGGCATTTAGACAAAAAAACGAACAGCGACTACAAAATAACCTAATTTCACAAGGTTCTTTTTTCTCAAACATCGTGAAAAACTCCACGTTGGCATTCGATTCCCTATGGTCATCGGTTCATTCAAAACTCCCTAAGAACATATTTAACTTCAGTCTACGTTACATCAACAATTCTTTGCCTACTAGGAAAAACCTAGTTAAATGGGGACTGTCATCATCTGCTGACTGTTCATTCTGCTTCTGCCCTGAATCGCTTTTGCACATAATCTCTGGATGTAAGACATATCTAAACGAAGGGAGATATACATGGCGACATGATCCAGTTTTGAATCTCATTGCGTCCAGCCTATAGCTTCTCGACGTCGGAAGGTCCAAAATGTATGTAGATCTGCCTGGATTTATTAGCCCATCTGTCATCACTGGTGACGAGTTACGACCAGACCTTCTGTTGACAATTGATAATAAGATTTTGTACATTCTTGAATTAACTGTTGGATTCGAAACAAACCTGAAAACTAACTCAGATCGAAAACATGAAAAATATTTGACTCTAATTACCGATCAAGAAAATATGTATGATGAAGTTAAGTTTGTTAATGTATCTATAAGCTCTTTAGGTGTATTTGGTGAATCGACGAATACTTTATTTGATATGCTCCATGATCTGAAGTACGACGAACAATGTATTAAATATGTAAAAAAGAAAATAATTGCTACTTGTATTCGCACCTCGTATTATATATTCTGTAGACGAAACAAAGACTGGATCAACCCAGAACTTTTAAACTTTTAACTAAATTTAAAGATTTTCACATGTATATATATTTTAGCTTTAAATTCAATTCAAGTGGACATCGATAAGCTACCTTTCATTAAGTGAGGTATATCAATGTATATATAGTATATCGTAAATATCTAATAAAAAGTTTCCATTATTATTATTAAAGTAATATTTTAACAGGAAGCTCCAATCACAGACGTGGTTTTCATGGAGGTCCTGCATAATAAAACTATATATAATACATTAAACAACAAGTTTAAACAAACATTACGTTATGAAAAGTCACTATAAAAGTATATAAAAAAGTATATAAAAATCCAAGCCAACATTTATCAATGTATCTATGTATGTATATGATAACTTCTATATTAAATTAACTGAACAATATAATTAATCTAGACACAAAGGTCGAGGAAGAAAGCTCTTAGTAAAACGAATCATAAGATAGCGAACTTCTTATCTCTTCTGGTATCTGATTCATGCATATTTGAGCCCCACTATAACGGAAACTTTTTTTGGAATTCTGTCCCAAAAGCCTAGTCCGAAATTGTAATGCAATTAAATCGCAGCAAAAATTCCCTCGTGCAGCACATTGGCTGCGATTTAATGGCAGTCCAATTTCAAACATAGAGCGTAAGAGCGATGTCATGTTCAAAAGTAAACGAAACATCAGTGAGCATAAACTGTATTTTCACTTTTCTGATATTTTTCAAACCGTTAAGAGCAAATGGAGACCGAATATAAACAAGACAAATACATACCTTGTCCTCCTATCATGTTACGTATAGCTGCATTGTCAAAAGGAGAAGTAAGCCTACTCCCAGGAATAGAGAATGCTGGGGCCTTTGGATTTAGACTAGATTTGCCACCTTGACTTCCTAATATACAAATAAAAAATGATGGTCACTAATTGAGAGGGATAATTTCAACTAAATAATAAAAATATCTAACGACATATAACACCGTTTACTTGGGCTAATGGAGACAGTATGTTTAGAGGTTCAGAGATGGTCGATGTTCCCACCTTTTCCTCATGTTGTATTTCCTGTCACTGCATTGTAATAACTAGGCTGTAGGTACTAAACATGAATGACTTCAACAGGTTCAGAATGCTGGAACTCTTATATTTAGATTAAATTTGTTACCTCGAGTCTTCATTTTGGAAGTTGATTTTTAAACAGTATGCTACACCAGAAAACAAACTGGGTATTTTCAAATGCCACATTTACTCTAGGGTTTTCTTTTGCCCCCCACTTTCCCTCCCCCCATTACGGACTGGTTCCTTACCTGTATCTTTACTCGTTTCATTAACCTCTCCTAAGCTGTTTGCCAATTCTCTCAAAATCTCTTCGTTAATTGGTTCTTTGACAGCTGAGGAAGTGTAGCTCAATTTCGCATCGGGTATACGTGCTTTGAAATACTCTTCGCGATCTGCTAGGAGATTATTTGCGTTATCCAGTATCATTTTCTGAGAGGAAATGATTTCTTCTTCTGAGCCTTGGTCGACCAACTTTTTCGAAAGTTGAACAGACGTTTTTATGTTCTCTACGTATAACTTTGTTTCTTCTGTCTGCTGCTCCAAATTGGCTCGTTTGCCTTTGTGAATTTCATCTACTTTTTTACAAAAACTTTCAGCTTTTTGATCCAATATTTCAATGATTTTCTTCGCAACGAATTCCTTCCTTTGTGCAATTTTATTTTTGGCATTTTCAGCATCGCGATCAAGTTGTTGTGTCGTTAGCGTTAATCGTTGAAGAAATGCATTGCCTTCAGTTAAAGCGTCTTCCATTGCTTTGCCATTTGAAGCAAGAAGTTCCTTATAGTTGTTCGCTATATCCTTGACGAGAACACACGAATGACCTTGTTTGACGTGTTTAAAATCCATGCAGTCCCTGCAAATCAGTTGGTTGCAGGTTTCGCAGTAAACTTTCAATTTCTTACCCGTATGTTCATTGCAATACATTTTGTCGTTGATTTTCTTGCGATTCTCTGGCTTTGATAACTCTTCCATCGTTAGAACAGAATGACCGTTGTTGGCTCGATAATTGTTGTGGCCTGTCAGACATTCTCGGCATAGGAATTTTTCACAGGTAACGCAACGAGCGACCGAGTAACTTTGACTACAATTATGTGAACAAGGAACACCGATTCCACGATCGAGTACGGCCGCCACTTTTACCATGTTACAGATAAAATGATTCCGTGGCATGTCGGCGACATGTTTGTCGGGATCAAGTATGAATGTCGCACGACAATTTGGACATGGAAACTCTCGAATAGGTCCACCGAGACGTGCTTTGCCACGCAATGTTTCCACAATGCCTTCCAAACAAACTTTACAGAACGAATGAAGGCAAGGAAGGGTTCTGGGATCTGTTAATACTTCCAGACAAACAGTACATTGTAGATTTTCTTCAAGTTGATTGATCGGGTCAGTTTGTAAAGCACCAGCCATTTGAAACGAGATACATTTCAGAAGGAAACCATCATTATACGTCAAGTTAGTCTGAGCTTTGGCAATGACGCGGAACGAGACCCGACAGAGAGGTTTTATTGTTTCATAATCGCATGACTGAACTTTCAGTACCAGTTCGTAGAAGACGAATTCTTGGTAAACCCTTGTTGCTAGTATCAAATTACAATCTTTTATAAAAAGGCCTTGACAGGAATGACGTCAATGACGCGAACGAAATATATGACCATGACCGAACAAACTAGTCATTCTGCAGTTTTTACATATCAATGATATCATATTATCATTCGATGTTGTTTCTCCGGGACTAATTGAAATGCTTTGATATTTTGCTTAACACAATGTTTAGGACACAATTTTAACAATGTTGGGAAAGTTTTATTAAACAAAACTGGTCGTATTTCATTTAAGTAAATTCATTGCGAAGTCTTGGCTTCGATTTCCGGAAAGGCAGTGAGTTGTCTCATTATTTTATCTCAGCCGCATGAAGAGACTATGTAGTTTTATTTCACCAACACGGCACGTTGTATTTCTGTAGTAACACTGCACCAATATTATAAGAGATAGGACTCCACATAGAGGAATGTTTTGGAAAAAAAACTGGTAGATTCTATCCTGCAGTATAAATAGCCGTAAATTTAATGTGATGTCGCGGAATGAGAAGAGTGATTGTGATTTGTGTGGCTAAATGTGAACGCCACTAATCATTATCTTTATTGATAGCTTTAATTAATAGTAGTCAATTAATTAAATAAAATAATATAAAATTCCTGCTAAACTCTTGTTTCTATATATTTCAATTTCTAATATCCTATATGCAAAATTTATTGCTACTATGGCACTTCTATATCACTACTATTGCGTAGAAATTAGATCATAACAATTCCTTTGTTCGTTTTCTGTTTTTATTTGAAATTTTAGCTTTGAAGATTTACTAAACTATAGTTGCAGAGTGCATCCAATTACCGCGTTGTTACAACAGGGAACGTGCAGCGACTTTACAATTGGGGTGGGGTGTTGAAACAAAGTACTTTGCCGCAAATCTTCTTTGGGGGGGGGGGGGTCCGGAAGCATGCTGCCCAGAACATTTTGAAAATTACAAGCACGGAAAGTGCATTTCCAGCTTTTTCCACAATGTGGTTTAACGTAACCATTCGTATATTGCCTGATGATAGGCATGCAGATATATTTCTGTGAACTGAAAAATTAGCTAGTGATGATTCGTGCCGATGGTTATCGTATTGTAAAATAATTCGATAAAAATGCACTGACGGTCAAGTCGAACGTTACTCTGCTTTTATCATGATGGTTATACCCAGCAAATGTTATAGGTTATATATAATACTACTCTAACGACTCTAACTATTTTGTAATTCCTTTTGCAATTCCTTTTGCAGCCAGTTATTCCTGTACTCTCTTCAAATATTTTGGGTCGAGATAACCAAAGCTGAAATAAAAGGAATGACATAATTAAATACTAATAATAATGCAACTTAACTTGTAAATAAAAAGCGGAGCTGCTGGATTGTGCAATATCTATAAAACGAAATAACGAATTATCGACACAACATTAAATAAGCACAACCCAGATATGTTTCTAACATACCTTGTTGGTCCTCCTGCAACGTTGGTTTTATGATGAATATCGTTCCAAGTTATGACATTGTTATAATTAGCTTCAGAGGTCGATGATCGTCAATTTCTGATCAAACGCTTTTTTCAGTAGTTTCGAAACTTTCTGCCCTTCTTTAATTGTTGTTAGGTATAGATATCCATATCGAGTTGTTCCTGAATATCGCTGACCAGGGTTTGAATGATTTGGTTCCTGCACTCCATTCTCGAACGAGTAAGTAATAAGAATGCTGCCTTCGCGCGATTCATATCCAGGAAGCTTTAGTGACGACTGACTTACAAACTTGGTTGATTTCTGATCAATCAATGAGTTTCTGGCCGAGATTAAACCAACAAAACATATAAACGTAAAACATTTTTACATTAAACCTCTCTAGGATAAGCACATCAATCAGATATATTTGGTACACTTTGCAGAAATGCATAAAAACCTGTATAAAATCTGTCAATCTTCCAAAATCTGTAGGGGGATAATCGAGAAATATTTCTGTTCAATAACCCTTAATACAAAATCCATTGGAATTCATAATTCCTTTAAGAATTCGTAAAGGTTTCATGGCGCGAAATATTTATTGTCCCATGCATGTAAAAGAATCGTGAATATGGTGAACCTCGTACCCAGGCTCTCCCCTCTACACTCTCACCTCCAGCGAGGAGCGTAGAGGAGAAAGCCTGCGTACGAGGTTGTACTGTAAAGTAACTTATTCTACTGATTCTTGTTTACCTGCTTCCTTGGTGAGATAATTTAGTTTTCTTGACAAACTTTGCTTCAGTTTTGACGAATCTTTCAAATAGGGCCACAAAAAATTGGATCATGACCCATGTTGATACGCGCTATCGTAGTCATTATCAGCAAAAAGTACAGTAAATATCAAGATGGTCGATCTGAAATACTTTGGACTCTGTATACCGTGTTCAAATTACTCATCGCTGATTATTGAAGAAATATATCGATACTCCACACATCGGTCGGTTTGATTTGATTGCGTGCAACCATCCATCAAAATCAAATAAAAAATTTACCTTTTTCATTGTTTAGTTTTCCTGACACTGCATTTGGATAACTGGCAGGTGTTGAAGGAGAATAACTCCCAAAGTGAAAGAACGGTGGAACCTTTGGAAATAATTTGGATGCCACCATTTGGATCCCACCTTGACACTTCATGTTTCTTGGAGGCATTCTCGTACCCAGAGCCCTTCTTACGCGCGGTCAACGGAACGCGACAAGGGGCTCTGGCAAAATCCAAACCGGATACCATAAAAACATGGTATCCGGTTAAACACTGCGCATGCTCAATTACATGCTCGAATAATACTGTGATAATACTATTTAACCGGATACCATGTTTTTATGGTATCCGGTTTGAATTTTGCCAAAACCTCTCGTCGCGCTCCGTTGACCGCACGTAAGAAGGGCTCTGGGTACGAGAATGTCCTGGAGGTTGACTTGCTATCCGTATGCCAGGGTAATAAATTGAAGAATAAAATTAGCTGCATTTTATGCGTGTCTGTACTACACCGGAATGGCGGAATCTTGTCATCGTTAATAAAACATTTTTTATGTTAGTAGTCTGGAAGAACAATTAAAAAAATAATAAACCTGGTTTCAAACCTTTCAACAAGATATATTTGTCAGGAGAAATTAATTGTTTTATTATTATTATTATTATTATTATTACTATTGCTAAAAACGTGCAATTTTTTGCGCAGTTTTATTTTTAGCATTTTCAGCATTGCGATCAAGTTGTTCTGTCGTAAGGCTTAATCGTTGAATAGAGGCATTGCCTTCAATTAAGCGGACAACGCCTTTTAAGCGGACACGCGAGGTCCCGAATAGGGGTCCGACTGTATATATATAGTGCTTTTCATCTCCGGATATCCTTGCATAATTCACCTCCGGACCAAAACAAAATGTCTTCCCGTTTTGTTCCGGTTTTATACTAAACGAAGTTGCAGTTCCGCCAAACACAGAGAAAGCCAAAAATCTTGTTTCATAGTTTGTTCAGGTGTTCTTTAAAACTAGTTCTAATGAAGAAAATTGTTAAGCTTGTAAATACTGTTTGTTTACAACTAATGCGGAAGCTGTAATACAAATTGTTTATTCTCGTTGTGATCCTGGTAGGAGCTGATCACGACATCTGCTAAAATCTAGCACATTATTAGTTGATGATGGTGATAAATATTTGATATTTATTCTTTAATTTATAACTGACATTTTGTTTTGCAAGTTTGACTTGATTTTATTTTAAAGGAATCCAGATAGTTTGAGGAATCCAAGATTGCTAGATTTTACCAAATCATGTGACCAGCTCCTGCCAGGATCTTTCCACCATGTCAGTGAAAAACCCAGCCTAGTCCCAGGCTCTCTCTCTATTCGCTGCTTTGATATATTTAACTAAGTTTTAAAAGTTTTATTGCCTGGGTGTGCTGTGCGGAACGCTTCAGCGAGAGAGCCTAGCAGATTTCGGTAAAATGGTCCCTGATTTAAAAAAAGTGGTCCCTAGCCTGGTTACCAAGCATACCGCATTTGTAAATAGAAAATGTTATGGAAATTTCCTTTGCGTTTATAATTAAGTCATTAGTTTTGCTCTAATGCTGTCGGAACAATGAAATCAAGGTCCTAGATAGGGGGCCGTGTTGGCCGTGTTATCGCGGCCAAAAGTGGAAAAACACGGCTAGATAAAATGAACGCGGCTTCATTATTTATATAAGGCCGTGTAGGTTCATAAAATAAGGTCTTGCTACTTACAACAGACAGAAAAATCTACTATAAAATCTACTATTGTTGTTGAAATTGGAAAAAGTGATCTGTGATGAGTTTAATATTTTGATGGATAATGGGAACTGTATGGTGTTAAAATGGTTTTAAATACCCCAGGAGTTGCTCAAATTACTGGTTGCAAAGCATAGAAAACAACATGTTGTTGGCGAGCATAACTAGAACCGTGATTTTGCTATTCAAGGTAATTGACATGTGCACGCCCTGGTCATTAGAAACACGCCCAAGATCTAAAATCCTAGCTAAGACCCTGAATGAAATAGGCTAAATTTCGCTACCATACGGTCAGAATGGAATAACGGGCTAAATATGACTCGTGTTTACTAAAATATAAAACCATATTAAATGCAATCTAGAAGCTTGAAAATTATGCCGAGTCTCCTCCTCCTAAAAATGTTTTGACAACACAGTCATGTCAGGCAAATATTTCCAGTCTCCTCAGGTAGTTAAACCTATCAAGTAGAAAGCGTAGTTGTGTACACCAGTATGGTCTAGTGTTGATCACAACTTGTGAGTATATAAATAACATCAACGATTATACGACCATTGCTCAGACTCGTAAATTTGTATATAAATTTTTTTAATTGAGCACATTTTTAATACAGTTTGAATTTGGTTATGTAGACATCGAACATGATCAACGAACATTGTCGTATTTACAAGGTTATTTGTATATATAAATTTTCCGCCATATTAAAAATACTGAAATCTGCTAGGCGTTCTGAAGCACCTTTAGCGGTGACGTCACACCTAGGTCTCAGTCTCGTACCACATCCACGTTTTTTCTCGCGCTTGCTTCAGAACGACTGCATGGGACTAGGCTGGTTAAAATGGATTTTAGTGATTTGATAAAACAACATACAACGTCTTAACATTAACATTAACGTTAGCATTAGTTCTTTTCCGTTTCTTATTTAGACATTTAGGTTGGAAGATACAATAATTCACTTTTCCCAGTATGGATGGATAGACAAATTCTCCTGAATTTCCGACAGAATCTTCTAAATTTTCGACGACCCAACCGAGTTGAGCATCAAGAGTAAGAACACGATATTATTTTCATATCACGCCTGTCATTGCTTTAAGACAACGTAGCTAATAAACTACCCTTTTAATAAACTAAAATTTTCTAAATGCAGCTTCAATAAAAACTGTGCTATTGTTACTAGATTATGTCTTATATGAAATTACCTATTCAACAGTTTACCACAGTAGATTATACAAAGAAAATTATTGTTCATTCAACGTTATTCTACTATTGACTAACTTGTCGGCGTTGCGTCCGATACAATTTGTTTTTTATTCTGTAATTCCTTTTGCAGCAAGCTCTTCCTGTACTCTCTTCAGGTATTTTGGGTCTGGATAACCAAAGCTGAAATGGAATTTAAGATTAAAAGTTTAGGGGGTGACTTTCCATGTGAATGTCCTGAAAAGACATCACAAAAACGGTTGCATGGCACACCGGTTTACGGAAACATAACCAACTATTAATTAAACAAAACAAAACAAAACCAACTAAATCAACTACTGAACAAAACCACCTAAAAATTGGATGGATTTGTTCTGAGCTTAATCAGTTTTGGTAACTTTCAAGAGTTTCACCACAAAACCATGCAAACAAACAAACAAACAAACAAACAAAC